GGATTTTGAAAATTCAAAATGGCGGATCTAATACAACCACCCAAAAATATTGAAAAATTTAAGAAGTTAACGGATTTTTATAAAACTTGGTATCAGGAGTATATTTAGGACGCAGATTTTAAAATTTCATCATTAAATTCGTATTTATCGACCTATTTGGTCTAAAGATGATCGAAAAACTATTAAAATTTATAACAAAATTCAAGTCCTCCATGGGCGCGTGGCAAAATTATCAAATTCAATTGGATCATTATTTTTTTTCTGAGCCTAGTCAAAAAAGTTTCATAAAATAAGATCGTGAAATCCATTTTGTACACATTCGAGAGAGTTTCTCTACCGCGATATTATCGTCATTTATTACAACATTTTAACGTTAATTCTTCGTCCAATTCTTTATATAATGTGAAAAATTCACCTTTTGTTTTTTGTTTTGTCCATGCTTTATGAACCCATAAAATCCGTCTTTTTTTTGTTTTTTTTTTTAAGATTCCTCTTCGTCTTAAATTAATGCCATTCGTTTACCGATAGCTCTGTCATGTTCACAGTCAGATGTATGTCTGAAGACTGATGTTTCAAACCATTCAAAACATTCACGGATGCGATTCGGATATGTGTAAATATTCATATCTAATTTTGCCGGTACGGTATGGATACAGTACGGATACGATACGGATATGTATAAACGAGCCTTAATAATTACAAACAAGTCCGAGGTTATAAGATGGGAAGAAGCTCCGTGCTCAACTCTTCTCCGAAAGATATAGAGGTTGGATAGGGGATAAGATTTTCTCGGAATGTTGATGCAGAAAGAGAGAAACAGAGCTCCTTTTCCGCCACACGTTTAATCTACTATTTATTAAATAAATAAAGCTGCTAACAATAAGAGTTTGTTTTATTAAATTTAAATAGTGTCATAAAATTACGTTCTATTTGGTAAACTTGTTTTGTTAATAATTTTTTTATAAATAACGAGCGACGACTAAAACTTTTTCTTATTACTTCAAACAATTGACTTTGGTGGCATATGTCAAAGTTAAGACGATTAGATCTAATTGCGTAAATATAAATATTTACTAAATATAGTATATTAATAATAAAAATTTATAACAACCTGATGGAAGATATACGTTGCAAGCAATGTAACAAAACCTATTTTCGACCGCAGCAACACATCACTATACCAAAGAGATACTATTTGATATGTTATAAAATATGACACTTTTATTTTATGCCGAATGGAATCTAAGTCTTCATCATAAATAATATCGACTTCTCTGAAAAAATGTTTTCAAATATAAAAAAGTTCGTCGACAATGTTTACTGTTATTAACCAATTCAATAATATAAGTCTTTAATATAATGAGTCTTTGTATTGTAGATATAACAAATTATTACAAAAATACATTTTTTGCAAGAAACAATTATAAAAAAATTTATTCTTTGTAATAATTTCACGAATATAAAAAGACAGAAGACAAGAACTCTGATGAGTTTTGATAAAATAATTAATATAATAAATGATACAATCGATTTATTTGTGAAACTTATATCGTACAGATATTTTGCATGCTTCTTAAAATGAAGTTAAAACAAAATCTGATTTGACACAAAAAATAATTATTTTAAATTTTTATCTAAACTAAAGATAATGATATCTTCTTAATATGGCGCAAATAAAAATCTATAGATTTCAGTTATTTCCTAATTTATACATTGTGACATAAAAATATGTATATCTTTCGGTTTTAAAATTACATTATTTAATAGTTTTACATTTTTTTATTTAATAATTATTTTTGATTAATTTATTTTAGTTTTGAATATTACCTTTGTAAAATCAGTCCCTGTTACAATGGTATTGTATTGAGTATCCCAAAGTACAACATAGTCTATTTTTGGTAATTTGTCAATACTATTTTCACGTTTCAAAAAATATAGGACTTGTTGGGCAATAGATTTTGCTAATTGTAAATAGTATGTCCCCGGGGGTTGAGCTACCCACCGGGCGCGTCTCCAAGGTGGCGGATAGGAGGACGCCTAGTAGTTGTGAGTTTTTTGAGGGGACTCAGTGCTGCTGGGTAGTAACAGTTATAACCTGGCCCCACGGAAGTAAAACCCTGTGGAGGGTAAGGGAAGACCGTTGCCGCGGACCAGCTCCCCAAGCTAAGTTGTAAGCCATCGTGGCGATGGCTGCATGTCATTGGAGGAGCAGTGTCACGAACGATGCCTCTGGGGAACCGGGCGAAACCCCAGAGTATCTAGCCTTACCCACGCATGCGAGGCTCTGCGTGGGCGGACCGTGTAATTCCCTAGCTACTCGTGGGACCACAATGGATATTGACAATACAAATTCAGAGGACAAAGTGGGAGATCGGGAGGGCTTGCGTGACGGGTCTCCGAGGGAAGGAGGCTGGGACGGTGGTGACGGACGGGACCTTTAAGGGCTCCGGAAGTGAGGCCGGCCCGGCTGCGCGGCAGGAAGCTTCACCTCCAGCAAAAAAGAATCGGTGCGGGGCCTAAAGAAGGAGGGCGAAGCGGATGAGAACAGCGGCTCTGGAAGGGGCTCGCTCTCTTCTCGTGGCTTCCCCTTGTACGCTGGTAGAGGTGGTGAAGGAGCACACTGATGGTAAACGTCGGA